TATGATTCTATAAGGACTAGTGTTATGTGTCTACGCCCATTAGGGGCGGGGCAAATCGGACCTGAAGATATAGTGACTTTAAATTCTGCTATATTTTAAACACTATTGATGCTAGAGACCTCAAATTTTGTATATATGCTCGGGCTGACCACCCAAGACCAAAAAGCTTTCTCGGATATATATCCGTCACAGGAGGCGTGGCCAACCGCAAAAAAAAATACCCTGTAATTTTCCCATTTTTTGAGCGTAAGCACTCACATTTTTCAGTTAGAGTACCGTTAGCTCGTTCTAAGAACTGGCCAAAAATGAGGTGTCTACGCCCAGTAGAGGCGTGGCAAATCGGGAAAACCTGTATTTTCTACAGTATTATATCAAAACTTAGCTACTAAATGATGATGGGATATGAATGAGTATTCCGCAGTCGGTAACACCCGACTGCAACGTTCTTACTTGTTTATATTATATTGTACAGTCTCCCTAAAACAAGCTGTCGCTAAGACATAATTTGATTGCGCGGGCATTAACAATAAATTGCATTATTATATACATGTACATATGTATTCATGTTATGTAATACATATACATACATAATGTGCATATGTGTGTGTTATATACAGGCAGCAAATATGTATGCATAATGTATCTATTCATGAGCTGCATCTCCACTGCTTTAGTTCTAATATCAGTATGTTATGAAATTACACTCGTGGTCATAATAATAGAAATAAGAATATAATTATTTAGACAGCTAATAAACTTACGAACTGGTGGTACTATGTGCTCCACGTAGACTTGAGACACGTTAATACTTTTCCACACAGATAAGCTCTGGCATGTACTTATTGTTCTGTCCAAAAGTGTGCGTATGTTATATACATATATATATATATATATATATATATATATATATATATATATATATGTTAACGTACATAATACATACATATATATATATATATATGTATACACGTGTATGTATTGAATTTGCATCAACATTGTCAAATATTCATATGTGTAAGTGAGTATGTGTGAGTTTGCATTTGCATTACGCATTAATTTGGATACGTGTGCAGCCACATGCACATGCACATGCACATGCCCGGCTATGCACGCGTGCGTGTGTGTATAGACTGGACATTAATTCGTGTACATATTTAGCCATTTGCAATTCTATTGTAAAGTATGTGAGTGCTTGTGTCCTTGTGTGCGTGTAAGTACATATGTGGGTATTTTAATAAATACTATGTATGTATACGAATCTCTCCTCGATAATTATGCCCACATGGCTGTTTGGCGTAGGCTCTTGCTCTTTACTGCTCCCTTCGACTGTTACCAATAATTTGCAGTTGCTTTTGCACAGCGAACAGTCGACTGTTCCTAGGGCTTGAAGGGAAGGCATTAGAAGAGCGAACTGAACCGAGAATGGGAACAGTCTAAGATCTGCTCACGGAACGGGCAGCGAATGGCCGCTTTAGTTAGGTTAATGAAATAAAAACGACAAAATCGATGGCTGTATGTAAATGCGTATGCGTATACATATACACACATGCATGTACATGTTTAGGTATTTCACAGAAAATGACATAAATGCCACACAAATATCAAAAAATTGTATGTGTACTTGATACTAAATAATACACGAGAAGATATGTACATTTCATTTCGACACGCATGATTCATATACCAAATATAAATGATATATAATCCCAGTACATACATGCATATGTTATATATGTTTATTATATATAGCCTAAATTATATTGGAGCTGGAGATCCCAGCCCAGCCGGAATGGGCTCCTACCGACGCATGCGGATGGCATGGAAGGGGGACTTGTTTGAATGCAATTTGTTGAGCACAATTAATTTGCGATGCAAGGCGGCCGTTTTGGCTGAATTTGGCTGCACTTCCTGCCTACCAACAACTATGCACAATGCGCGACGCCATCTTGTGTGTTGCAAGGGTGTGCAGTGCAGGGACTTGGGTTGGAGGTGGAGGTGGCAGTCCGTACTGCTAGCAGCGACCTCTTGCGGACAGACATAGGCCGAGTCGAGTAGAACTCGATATATATGTATGTTTAAGGGTGGGTGGGTCTATTTTCTCTTCTTCTTACGCCATGTATTAGTTATGTGTCCTATTCCACTAAGTACATCTGCGTTTAAAATTAATTCAGATTCCGATACAACAACACGAGTACAACTATATCGACACCCACAAGCCTGATCCCAAATATATCCAGTATCATCAGGAGTCCCTTTATATGTTTCAGGCTTTTCCCATTGCACTGACTTGACTCGTAGGCGCTACTTAAACGCTTGAAAGGCAGGTCACTCCCAGTTGTTAATCCCTTAAATGGTGAATTAGGAGAATGGAGGGTACTCAACACACACACACGAGCACACACACAGAAATTCATAGGTATTTCTTTGGCAAAGGAGCTAACTGTTCGTCTGCTGTGTGGTCACACACACACAAACACTTAGAAGTGCTCTCTCTCTCTTTCTCTTTCTCTTTTTCTGGAAAGAGCTCTTCTACTCGCTCCGTCAGTTGCTGCTGCTGTTGTTTATTCGGGTCAGCTGCTGGGCTCGGCTCTTTGCGAAATGTAGAATTTGAAAATCCGAATGAAAATGGAAAGAGGAATAAAAGTTCGAACTGGGTAGCTGGGGCTAACTCTGGTTTTGGTTCCGACTCCGCCACCGAGTATGGCGTCTTTTACTTGGTTACCGGCAAAAAGCAAGAGTCGACTCCACTCGTCTCGACAACCTTGACATAGGTTTGGCCTTCGTCCTTCAAGCACGTCATTGCAATTTCATTTTCTTTTGCACATCTCGTTCTTCTTTTTCTGAACGCAGCTGCAGCCAAGACTCTAGCTTAGCTTACTCTTAACCCAAGTGCTCTCATTTCCAATTGCCAATTTTATATTGATGTAATAATATAGTAAAATCGATCGTGAATAGACACAGGCCAAAGTAATACAATTTTTATAGTTTATGTAAATGAAATGGCCCTGTGCAGGTCGTCAGTTCGCTTTCGCTTGGCGTTGACGCGTGTCGACATGTCATTTACAATCCAGTTAGGATCTTCAAGCATTTGCAGCCTTATTCTGCTGGCATAGTTGAATGCCATTGGATATGAATTCTTATACGAATGCATAATTTCGTATAAAGAGGCCTATCTCAAGGACGAGATCTGTCATCCTTACGGCTTGGTGACTGCAGCTACATGCTGAGCATATCTCATGCTAGTGCTAGCCTCAAACAAATCAATAGCATGCCGGATTGTCTAGCCGGCTGGCTAGTCAAAAATCGATGTCTAAATTGGACGATAAGTATATACTGCATGCTCTCTTCATGCAAGTGTGTACGTGTGTGTACGTGCACATTAATGCATGCATAGCACCCTTATGTATTTCTGCAGACGCATGTACGTATATCAACATGCATGCATGCACATTCGTTGCATTTCGTGTATGTACATAACACGGTCGACATGAGTATGTGAACGTATCAGTATATATGGAGTATATATAGTGTGTGTGTGTGTGTGTGTGTGTGTGTGTGTGTGTGTGTGTGTGTGTGTGTGCGTGAAAGAGAGAAGTGCAATTGCACATAAATGCAACGTCGTAGCAACAAGCGGAAATGCATCGTGGCACACACACGTATACACACAGACACATGCACATGCATAAGCATAAACAGCCCAGACAGTCGTAGGGCGGGTGACCGAAAGACAGAAAGAGAGAGAAAGATTTTGTGATAGAGATCGTATATGCAGCCGTGGAAGAGACAAATACAAATTCACAGGCAGCGAGGGAGAGAGAAGGAGATAGGAGGGGAGGCACAAGAGAATCTGGTACCTAGGGTTGGGTATTGTTTCTGGCCAAATAAGGGTTGTTACTGTGTTCGTGTGTGTGTGTGTGTGTGTGTGTGTGTGCATGCGTATATGCTTATATATGTGTAGGTAGTGCAGCAGGAACTGACTGAACTTCAATGCAACTGCATTCGGGGCTGCATTCAGCGTTGTCGACGTCGGCGCCGGCGCCGGCGTCGGCGTCGGCGTTGGCCAAACACTGCACTTGACACTGCAACATTGAAACGCGTGTGCGGATCGGGGTAACGCGTGAGTGTGGAATGGGGCAGACGAATTTTGTGACTCGCTTGTGTGGCTGGCCGGACACATTCGCATGGCCGAAATACAACTGCAACTGCACCGGCAAAGGCAAGTGCAACTGTCACTGTAGCTTTAGCTGTAGCTGCAGCGCGACCTCTGGCGTCTGGCGTCTAGCGTCTGGCGTCTGCTGTGTCTGACGTCAGCGTCGGCGTCGACGTTATCCTACAGTTGGCCGTTATAAATGTTGGGGCAATTGTTGAGCAGAATTATAGCTGGGTGAAGCCAGTTGGAGTTTCCTACTAACTATGCACATGTTCTTCAGTAAGCGAGAGGCTCTCCGCACTTCTCAAGTAAATAAGCACAACATTGTAATTTTTATTGCAATAATTGTTATGGCTCCGCCAGAATTTATTGGGTCCAGATTGGCAACGATTCTCGAAGGCACGGATGTTCGCTGGTGAAAAGCTCTCAGCTAATGTCAACATTCCGCCAACGAACGCTGGAGCTCGTCAGTCCCCAACACTGCATGGGATTTGGCTACGACCGGATCCACATTGACCACCAAATCCAAGAGCCACTGCTGCTTCTGTTGACGTCGCGCAGAGTCTTCGCTGCCTTTACGTTTTGTAGCGCTGTCATTGCCGGCGACGCCAGCGCCAACGTTGACGTCGCTGCTGTTGCTGCCGTTGTTCTTGTTGTTGTTTATCACACACACCGTTTTTATCTTATAATAAGCCCAACAAACGCTGCAAAGCCCTCGACCTGGACGTCGCACACATCGACACATCCGTAACCAAATCAATATATATAAAATATATATATATATGTATATATTATATATATATATGTATATGTGTGTGTGTGTGTGTGTGTGTGTGTGTGTGTGTGTGTGTGTGTGGGTGTGTGTGTGTGTGTGTATGCGAAATAAATAAATATACATATATATGTTATATATAAGATATATATTGTGCAGTAACAGCAGTCAATTTTTATCCTTCTATTATTTCGTTGTCGACGCATTGACCAAACGCAATAGTCCATGGAGTAGAACAGCCGACTGCGGATCGTCAATTGACCTCGCGGATAATTTTTATTTCTCAAACGTGAATATCAACAGTGATTGTGCACCAACAAAAGCCCCAACAACAACAACAAATTATCATCATTACTTTTATTAAATATACATAATAGTTTTATGAATTTGTTCAATATCTTTAATCTGCAACTGGAATAGATCTATCACAAAGAGTCCGTATCAAGCAATAGATTCCGGAATAGCCGCACTATATCTAAAATTACCATGTACTTACCATGTACAGCAGATCAATAGACGATAAATTAAGTGTCGTCAGTTACAGGATCTGTCGACGAAATTCAGCTTTACTTGAGAAAATCTTGGGACAGCTTGTGATAGCGCTATTCGTTGTGATTTTTGTGAAATTCCTAATCCCTCACTCTCTCTCCTTTCTTTCTGTTTCTCTCGAATTCTGATTCCAGATCATCATAATTTAAATAAACAAAACAATAGACCAAACAACGTTTTCAAAATCAACCAAAATAGAAACATTTGCTAATTTAAAATGCAAATATAACAATAGAACTCCAAATGCCAACTCAGCCACAATTCAGTTTTGAAAAGCAATAGAACGGATACAGTTAAAGCTTCAGTTAACAGTTTTCACAACAATACTAATTTACAAACATCAACAACAATTCAACGCAACAATTTTACATAAGAAACCCAAATTCAACGATTTGAACTCGAATTCCTAAACACGAAAAGCGACAACAACAATGTGTTACCGATTATTTACAAAAAATGATTAGGATATAGCAAAATTGAAATCAAAAGTACAAAGCTAAGGAAAACAAACGAAACTAATGGTTCACAATTTACAATTTTGATAACGAATAAAAAGCCAACAAAATATAATTTAAACTTTGAAAAATATTCTGAAACTACGCAAAAAAGTTCTCGTTGAGTTTTATTTTACCAGCAATAAGAGGAAACTTCGATTAAAATGTCGCAAAGCAAAAAACCAAAATTCGAAATCAAAAACTTAAAATAATAAGAACACAACTATATAATAAACTAATTATTTTTTTAATTAAACACAAGAACGGCATAAGAAACAGAAAGTAATAAAAAGCAATTTAAAAATAAAATTGAAGCCAATATGAAGATACATTTATGTATAATAAATAATAAAATAATTCAACAACAACAAAATTTAAACTCAATAAACGAAACAAATTAAATAAGTCTTAAAACTTCATAAGAGACAATAAAAATATAAATCGAAAAAAAAAATAAAAAGATTGTGAATTAGCTTTTATTTAAAGCAAGTAAAATACCAATTAATAATTAAATAAAAACAGCATTCAATAAATAATACAATAACAAAGTTTAAAGTAACTACAAGTATAATAAGGTTTTTAAATATATCATTTCCTTTGCTTTTAACTTTTTCTGTACTCGGTTCGAAAAGAAGACAACGCAAGAAGACCAGCAGCCAATTATTCCTCGAATCAACAAGAAATTGGGAAAGTTGAAAGCAAAACTAAATCGGGTTACAGTAAACAATTAGCATAAGTATCAAATATTAACTAATTAACTGACAATTAACGGTAGCTAAGCTTAGAGATTTTTACTACGACTATCGAGCGCAGTCGAACGATTAGCATCAAAATAATTCCATTCTATGCAAATCGAAAACACACTGACACCGGCACAAACAGTTTTAAGTACCACTTACCCTATAGCTAGCATCTATAGCTATAGCATTGACTCACACACCCAGACAAATACAGACTATATAGACTAGATATATTATACTACATATATAAACCAAAATTAAAATAAAAAATAAGCTCAAAAGAAATAATAATAATAATAAAATTAACATAATACAAGTACTCTAAATTAAAAAGTTAAGATTACATAAAGGATGCAATACCAAAATAAAAATATAGCCCTATAAGAACTAAGTACATAAACTAAGAAAAATTGTACTAAAGTAAACGTGTAAACATTTATATATAAATCTTGAACAAATTTGAGCGAGAGATCAAGAGACACGAAACCGAAAAAATCAAAATATTTCGGGTGATATTTTGGCCTATGCAAAAACGTAAATCAAGAACAAATTGTGATCATAAATTAAAATTAAAATTAAAAAGAAAAAGAAAACAATCGAAAATAAACGATAAAAAATTAATACAAGTACCAGTTTAAGACAAATTAAATTAAAAAAAAAAAAAAAAAAAAAAAGAAGCGAACAAAATATGAAATTACGACATCGCGATAAGCAACGTGTGCCTTATATTCTGGCCTTAAGTTCAAATTAGTTTCAATAAACCATAACAATTGTAGTATCTAAAGTATATATAACATAAACCTCAATATAGACATACATATATTCATTCATTCAGTTCCCATTTATGAAGCAATTATCCAGATAGCCAAGTTTTAGGAATGCTTACAATTCCAAGGTGAGTGCCATGCATTTAATTTTAGAATACATTTTTGCCATTCTTATTATTAATATCATATATGAATAAATAAAGAGTCGAAATAATATAATACAAATTAAGAGGATAAGGACATTTGTAGCCCATTTTTACCGTATTTCTCTATACAAACACTAGTTAAATCCGCATTGTAAACGAGTAAAGAGCTGAGTTATAGAACTCTCCTAACTACATAGTGTGGGACTTTTTAACAGGGCATGTTATCGCGGAGATCACAGAGCAATGTTAACTCAAGCAGAAAATATAGCTAACATGCAGTCGAGCTCTAGCTCATTTAGTTAAATGTGAGTGTGTTCCAGTCGTATTTAGGAGCTGCATTTACTGTTACCACCTCCTTAGGTCTCTCTGTTACTCCTATTAATGTCGTAGCTACTGCTTCTGCTGCTACTGCTCAGTAAGAAGGCCGTAAGAGCCAAAAGCAGAGCCAGAGGCATACTGGGCCAGTAGCCGGCTCGCAAGAGTAAACCTTAAGAGAGAACGCGAATGAGCAAAGGAACTTGGCGCTGGCGCTGGCGTCGACGTTGACGCTGGCGTTCGCCACGAAGACGTTGCGCCATGTGACGAAGATGGCACGGAACCTGGGCCACGAAGACGTTTGACTTACTTTGCTCTGCCGCTGCGAACGTAGCAATATATAAGCGGTTCGCGTTTTGCTTTTCCTTTTGGCTTTTACCGTTAAGGTTGCTGCTGTTCCCAAGTTCTATTTCTAAGCAAACACAGACGTGTATATCTATGTGTGTGTGTGTCCTGCTTGGGAACCCTCAGCGACATTCATATTTATACTTGTTCGAGGCAGCGACAAAATTAGTTTTTCAATGACTCGCGCGCTGCCAGGTTATCCTTATCTCCCGTCTCCTGTTGGGAACTACTACATATAAGCCTGCCCGCTCGCCAAACTGAATCGCAAAACGCGTCAATTCCTCAAAAGCGCTGTAACTGTAACTGTCAACTGTTTCGATTTCGGCTAACGAGTTCCATTGAGTGTATGAGGTATGTTTCGCTTTGCTCAATATCGTATCGCTGCGATCCTCAGCATAATCGGAACTAAATTGAATTTCGAAAATCGCACGAGTTCGTCCTCAAATTCCCGCACGAAATAGATCACTATTAAATGTTTATCATTCCTAAAGTATTGTGTGCGTGTGTGCGTGTGTTTTCCTTTGTAAAACTAAAGTATTACTATCATTACTTTTCTTACCAGACATTTCATTAGTCACTTTTTTATACATTATACAAATTTATAAAATTTGAGATTCGTTTATCTCTTTTCTATTTTTTAAAGTTGTAATTGCTTGAATCATTATTTTCATTTGGCGTCATTTTGAACAGCACAGTAAAATTACGATTAACAACTTCATCAATTTCAAACATTTATGAAAGCATGAGAAAAAAAAGAAAACAAATAAATATGAAAAATATGAAAATAAAAGAGCGCAAATAACCGTGGGAGGTATAGTATATGGATCAGAGATATCTATGTGGGAAATTAAACTGAAACGTATAATATTGTGAATTGTGATAATATCTTGCCATAAAAAGCCTGAACGAAATATTTCTGAGCAGATGTATTCAGGGTGAAATCAAAGATTTGTGATAACATATTATATTAAAACGAAGATAGTACAATGATAATAATGATAAGACAATACCATTGACTAAATAGTTAAAGCTCCAGTGAAATATTCTTTGCTTTTGATCATCGATACCGAGTTCACACGTTATTAAAGTTATTATATTGAACCATATCGTATAATCTACACATGAAAATTTAATCTGAATTGTTAATATTAAATAAATATGTATATTATATTTATATTATATTATATTATATTATATATGTGACACCAAATGAAATTAACTTAACTTCATAAAGTAGTCATTAGAAATTACTAATTACTACTTTAAGGTTAGTAATTTTAAAAGATGTCTCAAGAAGCTTGAATATGTATATACATCAGCTCTTAATTTGATGATTTTTGTTTTGTTTTAATGGTGATAAGTGACCTAAATGAAGTGTTTTCAAAAACATGATAGTTTTGAATCTCTAATCTTTACCTGATTTCCTTAAAGGTCCTTGGCACAGATCCAACCCAGCTCTGGATCCAGAGGAACTGCTATTTCGATCGCAATCGGAGATCGACGAGATCGGCCAGCGCTAACAGCAGCGACGCCGAACCAATCTCCAGTTGGAGAAAACCGAAACCTAAGCGGAAGCTGAACCTTCAACTAAGGCCATTACAAATGTTTAAAATGGATGATTTTTGGCAGCAAGCGCGCGTGCCTTTCTCTCTACACCATCAGCAGCAGCAGCAGCAGCAACAGCAGCATCAGCAGCAGCAGCAACAGCAGCAGCAGCAGCAGCAGCAACAGCAGCATCCGCATCCGCATCCGCAGGCGCAACCGCATCCGCATCCGCACCCCTTAGTCGCTCAGCAATCGTCCAGCAGTAACAATAGCCACCTGCCGTTGCTTAGCAAATTGGAGCAGTCGCAGCATCAGCAGCAGCAATCTCCATCACACCAGCAGCACCACCATGTCGATCAGTGCTATAGTCATGAGGCATTTGTTGTGCAACAATCGCTGGCGACAACGCCAGCAGCGCCGTCGGCGCATCTCAGCAATCATCATTTGCTATTCAATGCAGCCGCTGCAGCAGCTGCTGCTGCGCATCTGAAGACAACTGCATTGAATAATAGTTCAGCCGTTGGTTCCGGTTCCTCAACCGATCAGATGGACAATCCGAGCAATTGCAATAGCGTTAGTAATCTGCTCTTAGTGAAGACCAAGCAGGAACAGCAATCGCATCCCCAGCCGCACCAGCAAAAGAATTCCGACGATCCGCACCCAACACCACAACAATCAGAGCAGGCATATGCCACTGCTTTCTTTGACGCTTCCAGTGATCAGCATCCGCAGCAATCACAGTCACAGTCACAGTCACACTCACAGTCACAGGCGCAATCGCAGTCGCAGTCACAGCATCAACATCAGCAGCTGCCACACCAATCACACAGCCCGCTGCTCTCAAAGACAATATCGCAAGGTCAACAATCGCCACAGCACTCGATAACGCCATCTGGCGGCAGTTCCACGCCCGATATTAAGTACAATAACGAAAAGCTAGCCAACGAGATTCAGGTAAAGTTGACAACCTTAACATAAATATAGACAAAAACAAATAAATAAATAAATAAAATAAAACCATAAAATTGGTACAACGAGTTGCAAACAGACATACAAATAGCGAAAGCCCAACGAAACATTCAACTTAACAATACGAAGTGACCCTGAATAGTGTCGAAAATGACAGGAAATTAAGCAAAGCATGTAAGAATAAGAAACAAATGAGCAAGAGCATACCCCATTGCTGATATTTGAATTCAAAAGCCCTTAAGAGAGTTGAATATGAGAATAATAAAGCATTTGCTGGGCCAAGGGTATTCATACTCTTCATTCTGCACGAGAGAGTTGTCAAAGAGAGCTAGTCTCATAAATTTCCCACATGCTTCCATCTGCTTCAACATTTACCCCTTTACTTGGTAGTCAGACCGAAGAGCACGCAGGAAGGGGTAGACGGCGATAAAGATGTGAAGTAAAGAGATGCGATATATGAATCAAGAACTTGTGCTCTCTCGCGCTAGAGCACCTTCTAGACATTTTTAATTATGGCGTTGGTCTTGCTTACTCTGCTCGCTTGAGAGTTAAATTTGGTCCTGCATTTTTCTTCTTTGCCTTGTTGTTAACAATTCCATCGAAAGTGGGAGACGTGGGCAATGCCATCAAATTTCCCCTCTCAAAAAGCGAAATTTTCAATTACGTTTTTGTCTGCACGAAATCATAGGGAAGGCAGTGCTAACAGCTCTGAGAGAGAGCGAGAAGGTAGCTTGAACATGAAAGGGACAAAATTCTTATAGCCTGCTTAGTTTTTTAGGTGTTTTTTTTTTCTTTTTTTCCAAGTAACCCCAATTCATAAACGTCGCGTTGGCTATTTCTCCTCCTTTGTTTCTCAGTGTGTGTTAGTGTGTGTGTGTGTGTGTGTATGTGTTTGTGTTATGGCTGGGGTGGAATTTAATCTATCAGTTGTTTTTGGGGTTTGGGTGAGCGTAAGTTTAGTTTTATTCCACTACACAATATATGTACATATACATACATACAACACATACACACACGCGAATAGTCGTTATTCTTGCGTCGGACGCTGTCCGCGGCCACTGCCACTTCTGCTTTTGCTTTGCCTTTCCACGCCGCATTCAGCGCGCAAGAAAGAGAGCGAGAGCGTTCGTAATTTTTGTTCTCGTTCTTTGCTTTGTTTTTTTGTGCTGTTCTTTGCTTTGTTTTTTGTGCTGTCTTTTTTTTAGAACGTAACTCGCGCATAATTTCTTGAAGAAAGCAATAATAGTAAAACCACACACACATACACAGAGACAAGCCGATGTCGACGAGTTAGAAAGAGAAGCCCAAGCTGACGCAAGTAACAGGACTCAGAGCAGAGCCGCTGGCGTCGACGGCGACGGCGACGACAGAGCATAAGACGTTGCGACTGGTATCCCGTTTGTGGATAAGGCGAAGCGTCTGCTGGCAGAAGTTCAAAGGACATCGGGCTGTCAGGTTGTGTGCGACTTCGCGTTTAGCTACAGTGAAACATCGTCATAGAAACAGTTTGTCAGTTGTAGTAAATAGGCGGTCGCGCTCTAAGTGGTATTTTAACACCTATAATTTCAAGCTTTGAATCATTCAAAGATTACCGGTCAATAATCGGTTCGATTTCAGTGACAGCCTCAAAGCAAAAAACAACGCTAAACCAGCCAAGCTAGCCCAACCCAGTCAAAGCAAACTACCAATCATTGCCTTTCGTTCCTTAAAGCCGGCTTCTGTTGCCCTCGAAAATAAACTCGCACGTACACACACACAGACGGACACACAAATACATTTATGGACAGGCATGTTGATAAACAGAGATATATGTGTACACACCCATAAAAATAAAAAAAATAAGAAAAAAACAATTTTCCCCACACACACCCACCCACAGAGAAAGGGACAGTGCGAAAAGGGAGAGGGAAAGAGAGAGAGAGACGTACATACATACATGCGTGAGCTCGTGAAGTAAACAAACAAATAAGTTTACAAGGATACCGCAGAGGCTGGTGAAGCTGGTCTATCAAAGAGTCTACTCCAATTGAACTCGCAATTCTTAATCTCTAGTCTCCACTCAACATGCATCTACGTATTACGCAAAGCCACTGACACACGCTCACATTCACAAACACACATACAAACGGATAAACAGATGCGTGCGAGAGGCAACAGGAAATACAACTAAAAAAAAACTATCGACACGCGCCCGGCAACAAAAAATCCAAATATAAATAAATATAAATATATACGTATACGTATATATATATATCTCTATATATAAATATATGTATATAAATATATACTACATATGTAACATATGTACATATTATTTTCTTTGATTTTCAACTTCGACTTGAAATCCATTTGGCAAAAAAACCATACTAAACATAAAAATGACTCTTGACTGTGAAAAGGAGCACGATGTAATTTACTATTCCAATTGAAAGAAACTGTGAAAATTTGATTTAAGCCAACGAATTATCCATTTTGGTTCATTTATAGTTTCACATTATGATTTTTTCTATTACAGAAAATACATGTACTTATATAGTTTGGTAGAATATGTAGAGAAGTTTTTATAAATAATAGATTAGATTAGTGTAATTAATACATCTCTATATAATGCATATGTCCGAAGGAAGCAAATTTTAGCCGGGCCGCGCCCGACTTCGAGATACCCTGGGATTTAAGCCGCATGCCGAATGAGAAACCAATGGTTAAACACAATGCGAACGCTTTTACACATTTGCGTTTTCAAGAATATGCTAGAATATATTATATATATTATATATATGATATATATGATATATATTATGTATATATATATTATATATATTAAATTTAAAATTTTTTTAAATTCAAATCAAAAGTGTATTAAGACATATATATTATTTTAAATTTTTGATTTGGTACCTTTAAACCAATTTTACGAATTTCCTTGGGCAAGTCAGCTTCACATTGATATACGAGGAAATTCTTTACACAGGTCTTCCGCAATAAGTCTACTTTTCAAGAGTCTCATAGTGCGGCTGATATGGAGTTCGTAACTGTAGTAGAGCAAAGAGGACGCTCTTTCTATTTCTCTGTCCCTCTTTCTCTATTTTTTTGTCTCTGTCTCTCTCTGTCTCTATCTCTTTGGTTTTTTCAGCCTAATTTGAATACTATTAGACCTGGAGACTTCAGATTGTGTATATACATTTATATTTTGTAATTTACAGATTATGGATACCCCCTTCGCCCCTCGCCCCCCCCTTCCCGTATTTCAAAAAAACCTATTTCAAGTACTACAGACTTGTGTTTTGGAATATACACACATTTAAAGTGCAGAATGATCAGAATATCGTCTGGCAGGGTACAGGGTATCTCCTAGTAGAGCAGTCTCGACTAGAGGACTTTCGCTTCTTTATTTTTGACATATTTTTGGTTGTTGTGGATTATTAAAAGTAAAGACGATTAGCTACTATACAAATATGAAGTATTCATAAGTGAATTAAATGTTGTCGTCTTGTTATTTTCTTACAGCTTCAGCTTTCGAGGTCAAGCAGCGCAGCCGCAATCAGTGAACGAACCCTTGAAGAATGTTGGTCGACCCTGCAACGAGTGAGTTGGCATCTCTTCCGTTGTGTATAGTACTCTTCCACGTTGAAGACATCAAACACACGCACACACACAGACAAATCAAAAACTGAGCTCCCATGTACATGAATATCCAATACCAATAAGTATCGTATATATGTATGTATATATTTAGCATATCTTAAGTGCGTGGAAAAGACAAATCAAGTGTCGCCTAATGCCAAGAGTATTCCCAAGTTCTTAAAATTCCGGTTTTCTTATTTCCATATATATTAAGTTCATTTCGAGTCTTTCACTATCAACAAAAGATTTTCTGGAAAATCAATTGTCTGGCTAAATGAAATATACTATATTTGGATCGACACATACACACACACACACACACACATACACACACACACACACATTCAAGTCTATTTGTATTTGTTTTTACATGTTTTTATTTTACATAACACATGTGTGTGTGTCTAATTGTATTTGTTTTTATGATAATCGTTTATTATTTGTCATCAATTACCAATTAACGTAGTCTACGATCCAAATGCTTTTGTAGTTTTATTTTTGACTCAATAAACACTGATTTCACATGTATTTATGTTTTCCTTAAACAGTTTCTTATTTCCGTATCGATTTTTGTTGGTTTACAGATATACATTAATACATATGATATTCTTGAGATATATGAGTACATATAAATCAGTATGCATATCTACATACATATGTATATGAATGCAGGTACAGATATGAATACATTTATGTGTACGATGCTGATCAAGAAAATATAGTGCAAAAGACGTGCCTCCGCAAGACATCTTAAATTTTAAGTGCTACCAAAAAACGAAATTCAGCCAAAGCAAATGTGTACAATACACACACACATACAGCAGCCAAACAGCTAGAGAGTCCATGCAAAACACATATACATATGTATGTGTGAAAATGCCGAAGGACGCACAGCCATATCAAAGAAACTAACGGAATAACACAGAGGGTGTGTGCGTATGTTCGAGTACATACACACATTTTTTGCAACCATTTTTATTTTGTTCGCCTTCGACCGTTATTTATTTCATTTTCTCCTTTCTTTCGCTCGCAACTTTTTTGTTTCGTTCCTGCTTGTATTAGCTGTGGCATACGGCTACACACCGGCAAGAAGCATTTGCCTGCTGCCAGCGTGCTTCGACTTACCCTCGTCGTCAAGGTCCACACTCGCTCACACACGCACACACACATATATACACACATACATACAGAGACAGAGCCTAGCCGTAGAAATTCATTGGTGCAACTATCCTCGTCGATGCAACTCTCCCTCTCCCGTTTCCTCTCATTCCACGGGCGTGTTCCGAAGAATTAAAACAAGTAAGAAAGCTGTAGTCGAGACTGCTCGACTACGAGATCCCCTGAACTCTGCGAGCAACTTATGTTTTAATAATAATTCGCACACACACACACACATACTTACGTACGCATGAACACGCATTGGCTGCAGTGCACTATGGGGAATTTTGCCGTTTTTCGGGTATTTAGTCATTTTTGCGAAGTATGAAAATTTATAATTTTTTTATGTTAACATCTTAATAAAACTCCAAACTTTAAGGTACTGTACCCAAAATGTTGAATAACAGTCCACTGTTAAGCCTAACAGCTGTTAAAGTCAGCTGTTATCTTCGAAAAGCATTTGCCTTCAGCTTACAATTTGTGTTAGCCGATTTTCAAATCATCGTTATTCAATGACCAGACATTATTTTTGAGAAATTTAAAAAGGATATGAATTTTTAGGGCTTCTACTATGCGTTGGCTTAAAAACCAATTGATGTTTGAACTTATTTTAATCATTTATTGTATAATTAGCAAATGTTGTCAAATTTCATTTCTTGTAAATAAAATTAAACTTTGCAAAGACAATTAAAACAGCCACCAGGGCGCACCAGTGTAATTCCAATTGCATGTTATAGAGTAATCAATTGGGATCTTAGTGCCTTTGTCTCAATGTGCACTTTTGCGCACAACCGGCGCAAATCAATTTTTAGCAGGTGACTATGAGCTGACCTGTGTGATATTTGGCTCAATGAAAAAGGCAACTCTAACCAAGAAATAGTAATTGTGATTTTGAAACTAAATAAGACTAATATTGATTCAACTTATAAATGATATTAAAAAAGCAAAAGCCGCTTTTTTTGCCAAAATATAAATTACAAATGGAAGAAATGCAGCAGGAACAAAAACTAGCTGACAACTATGAATGACTGCCTATGACAGCAAATGTTTATAAAAATAATTGTTCATTTGAGGCAGATTATGGAAAGTACTGTTCATCCTGTAGGCTTTTTTGGTAAGGAAGCGTCTGATTTGCCCAACCAGGTCTATAAATCAGACTAATTTCATCATGCATGAGAGCATGAGAGCAGAATCCATAATTTCGCTGATGGTTTTTAACAATGGATACATCTGATCAGATTATTTCTTCGGCAAATCTTTAGAAAAGAGTTTGAAAGCATAAAGGTCGCTGTCTAATGAAGTTGTACGTATTGTATTATGTAAAGTTGAAGGCACAATTAAATCAGTTGAAGAACCCGAATTTTTTTAGCGGATCAATATTTCTGGCTGATTTGGAACTCGAAACTGAAGAAAACTAATTTCGATTTTATGAAAGTTCGATTGTTTTCAATTAAAATTATTATTTTAAAGTATGAACAAGCAAAATTCTTAAAAAAAAAAAAAAATTTTTAATACAAAATTTTAATAAATTTTTTTTGGGTGGGCGGTGACACGCCCATTTTTCTAAAATATATTTCTGATGGTATACATATTAATAATACAAAAACCGGATCAAAAAATCTGGCTTAGTTTTTAAGTTATTAATTAATACCCGATAATTTGGATTTTTCCCCATAGTGCAGTGGTGCCTTACTATGGGAACTTAATTGCTTAATTACTTTTCTTTTGGATGGACTATCTTCATGAAACTTTCAGATTATGAATATAAAATGGATATGCATGTATTTGCCAAAGCACAAGTCTCTAGTATTTTAAATACGCCTTTTAAAAATATTTGGGCGAGGGGGTGAATTAGGAGTGGGGGTCAATTTTGACAAGAATCGGAATTCCATAAAGTACATATAAATCTACATAAAAAATTTGGTCACTCTAGCTTTAAAGATGTAGGATATACATTTATTAATGGTTTTCGATAACGTTTTTAATCGATAACAAAATAACGGGGGAAGTTATCGATATTTGAAGCAAAACTCGATATGCGCGTGGTATACACGGACCTAGGAAAAATTTCAAGTCTCTGGCTCTTATATCTTCTGAGATCAAGAATATATGTATATACTTTGTGGGGTCTACCACGCCTCCTTCTACATTTAACAAAACCATTATACCCTGATTTCCCATTTTCAAATGGGTCCAGGGTATAAAAAAATATATGTATGCATCGTGCACACATACATACATACATACGTACGCACATACAGGAGCATTTCACATAAGCATTTTCGCATATTCCCTAATGTATATGTGTGCACGTATTTAATTGTAGTTTCTATAAAATATAATGTTTGCTGTATGCATTGCACTTGAAAATCGAAAAACTGGCTAATGTAGGGCTGCCATGCGTCGAATTCCGGGACATGTCCCGCTTTTGGAGGTAATATCCCGGTGTCCCGACCTGACTCGAAATTCTCCCGGTTTTCTACGGTATCGTTCAAAAATTGTCATTTTGACTAAATGCGAGCCGCATTTGCAAATTTTAAGAAGTTTTTGTCGAGACAAGTGAAGAACTTTGTTGGCAAAATCAGCGTAGATAAGATAGTACAGTTTTTGCAACAAATGTACACTCGTGCTGTTACTCGGAAGTATTAAAACTAGCTGAAATCCTGATGCGAATTTGCGTTACTAATTACGCAGTGGTCAGACGAAAGAAATAAGTTACGTTAGAGAGAGAATGTTAAAAACATACTTCTTGTTCACTATAATTTGGTGGACATAAGTTGCTCCCAGTTTTGTAAATGGAATGGCAAATGTCTTATGAAATTATGTACATACATACACATGCATGGATATATGCTGCATATACTTGTGTATGTATGTGTGTGTGGTTATTTTTAGGGATTCTCTTGTACTTCTCTCTCCTCTCTTCTACAAGAGCCTTCGGCCACAGACCGTCGTCCATTTCGCTTTCCATATTCACATTTCTCTTATCCCTTCTATACGCACACACACAGCCAAGCACACACACACACAGAGCTGCTATTATCGCAATCTCATTTGCCCGACGATTCGCAGAACTGCCGTTGGCTGGCTAGTGGCTAGGCAGCGTATGTGTGTGTATGTGTGCAGTGCTCGCCATTTTTATGGGAGCGAAGGAGTCCCGGACTAGCGACCAAATGAATTTAAAAAAAAAAACAAAAGTGCAGTTGCAAAGAGTCTCGGCCAAATGACGAACAGCAGCAGCAGCAGCAGCAGCAGCAACGAATCGGCGGGAGTGCAAACAAACCGTTTGGCGACCAACCAACCAGAGAGCACCGCACGCGGGTTGTCTCACTGGCCTTTCTACCCCGACTGCCTGCCACCTGCCCGAGCGTCCGACTGCTGCTGGCAGCACTGTGTTCGCCTGCGTTCTCTTCGTCGTCTTCCTTTTCCCGCACCTACAGCCATATTTCCGACTGGAACTCGTATTCCCTAAATAACCAGATAGTTCTTGGCTTTCTCGCTGTCTCTATCTCTTTTCTGCTTGTTTCAGTATCTTAGATTGTATCCATTTACAAATAAAACACTTTTTATTCCACACAACTACAAAATTTTTTTTTTTATTTTCTGTTTTTATTTAAAGTTTAACTACTTAATTTGAGAAAAATAACGCTGGCGACCTTTATCATTCACTTCAGTGTCTCGTTTTTTCCCATTTGTTGCGCAATTTAGGTTTTATAAAAATCAGCAAAAAGTTTTTTTGGTCGTCATAATCTAAAATGACAGATATATATAAAATTCCAAGAAATTGGAGAGAGTTATATACCCATATGTATTTATATATGAGCCAAGGATTGACATTGTTTAGAGATGGGAATGCGTTTCATACACACATATTTATGTACGTAGACACCTATTAAGAGTCATTTCCCTCAAGCTCATTTCACATTCATTAGTTATTTGCATATATACAGACAGTTATTCATATGTATGTATGTAGACATAAATACAATTTTTTAAACAAGAACAAAACAGCAAAAAATAAAAGAAAGAAAAAACAAAGTGTTTTGCTGACTTGTTTTCGTGTTGTACAACATGCAATTGTACACATTTTTATAGTGAGATTCAACAAAAATCACAAAAAAAAAAACATACACACACATGACAGCATAAAGCTATAAAAATGTGTTAAGTACAAAGAAATTCGCTTATATTTGGCTCATAGTCTATAAATACGCCTAGAAAGTCAACTCCAACTGCATTTTCTGCGTGAAGTTAGTAGACAAAAGTCAAATATATTTTCCCCTCTATATATGTATAAATAAACATTTATTTATTATATATATTTAAGCTACCTAAAAATTGGAGCAGAACCTTGAAAATCGTTACAAAAATAAGTGGAGCAATAGTAAATTGTGTATGCGAAATATAATATAAATTAAATTATAAAATCTCTGAAAATTCAAAAAAATATATTTTATACATATGTGCAAATATAAATAAAAACAAGCTAGAGGAAAAATAGTAAAAAACAAAACAAAGCACTGTATTCTCTAAAATAGTGCTCTAGTGGCGACTGGTGGACTAGGAGGCCCCCTCAACAATGCAGAGAGATAATCTGCAAATCAAGTAATGCTCCCCATTTGGCTATATGACAGACAGCACTTAAGCACTAGCTCGCATAATCACACGCTCTGCTAACTGCGCAGTTGACGCATTGACTGCGTATGCATCAAAAACTTTTAGAATGACAATAACAATCAAATTAGTCTCTTTGCTGAGGCGCAAGTCTCCATTTAAAAATCGAATTTAAATTATATGCAAAATTTCAAACGTATCACCCTGGTCTCTTATTGGGTCTACCACGCCTCCATTTTCAATAAATTCAGGGTTTTAATAAAGACACACATACAAGCGCTCATACACCCGAATATGTGCCTAGTAAGAACTTCTTACATACATCTCATATAGACGTTACTCTGAGTTCGCATATCGAAAGCGTGAGGAAAGCATAAATTACTTATATTTATTATACTATATATATACCATATATACTATATATCTATATATATATATATAACTACTATATATGCATATCAATACGATATTCGTACTCCATGCTTTCTGATGCTCGACCTCTTCTAACTCTCTCTCTCTCTCTCTCTCTCTCTCTCTCTCTCGCTGTCTATCTCTCTGCATCCTTACATCTCCGTTTAATTTCTCTTTCGGCTGGTTCGAATCGTTCAGCTTTTCATGCACAAGAGCGCGATGCAGCAAATCCAACAACAGATACCACGAGTCGGACTGAGTGCCCATGGTGTTGGCACCACTGCCAGCATTGGGGGCAGCACGACACCCGGTGGATCGGAGACAAAGCCACATCAATGCCACCAGTGCATGAAGAGCTTCTCCAGCAACCATCAACTGGTCCAGCATATACGCGTCCACACCGGAGAGAAGCCCTACAAATGCTCCTACTGTGATCGTAGATTTAAGCAGCTATCCCATGTCCAGCAACATACGCGACTGCATACCGGTAAGTCTTTACAGATCTATTATATAAAATTGCCATCGGGGATTTACTGAACATATGCGGGCGAAGGGAGTAGGGAAGGACAAATTAAGAAACATGTATCCAAAATCAAATCAAATCTCCACTGCCTCAATACCTCCGTTTATGTCTTAACATTTATAGTTCAGGACTTGCACTGTGAAGTGAACAAATCTATGTAGCGTAAAACTAATATGCTCTCCTCACTTCGTGAACGAGTCAGTGGCGAGACTGAAGCCCAAATGCTGCGCCATCTTCAAGACGATTTCCATCCAATTTACCGTTTTTTTCTAATTACAATTTGGATTTCTTCTGGTAAAAGCCTGATTTCATATTATTTGCTTATTACTTATTATTTTTTCTCGTCTCATAATTACAAGGCTGTTGAAAATGTTTCCTACTTGTGACAAATTAAAACGGTCGTAACTTCCTTCGCACTCACTTTCGCTCACGGTCTCGCTCCCCTGCGCCAGTTGCAATGTGGATCAAATTGATTTTTGTATCACTAAAAGCTGCGAATCGAGCTCCTCTGAAAGACTCGAGATTCGAGCAGAGTATTTTGAATTTACAGTAATTAAATCACTAGTGCATTAGGGCAGGGTACTCTGAGGTCGGTCACTCTTCCATTTAAATGGACTAACTTGCACATCAGTGTCAGCTGTTTTGCCTCACTGTGCAGCAAAACCTTTGGGGGCTCTTCCCTTTCGAATGTCGAACTTGTCGGACGGCCAATGTAAATCGGCCATCTCTCTCACACCCATGCCAATCGCCCCGTGCGCCACACCTTCTGCTTCGCCTTGCATTGCATCTGCAGCAATCGCTGTGTCCGGACTCAGCAAATATTTATATTACGCACGCAGAAACGGCTGACGACCGGGGAGTGAAGCGGCGAAACGACGAAAACGGCGAAACGGCGAAACGATGAAATGGCGAAATGACAAAATGAAAAAATTACAATGATAATTAAATAAACTTTGAGTGCTTTTTGTCGCGTCTTTTTCTAGCGGCGCCAGCTGCGAACTGCAACTGAGTAAAAATACCTATGGGAATAGTACAGTAATATATTTTACTCAGGATCGGGATGGGGTTAGGGACGACGGCGTGGTTGACGAAAATTATTCAACGTCATTAGCCACATTGAAAGAATTTTTTATTTATTTTGTGTCAAAGAATCTCTATTCCCTTGAACCAAAGGAAGTTTTCTTCACACCTGATTGCAGGATTACAATGAAATATATTTTCTTATTCTTTTGCCTTTTTTTCTTCACTCTATACACCCGTTCATGAAGTGAAAGAGCATATTGATTGTGTACAATTTTTATATTTCTTTCCGTCCATTGTGGGAATCCCGATAGAAAATACTATATATGCTATACCAAAAACTCTATTACTTACAGTGATTTATTTAAAGCCACATAAAACTTTAAAAAGTATATACAGTATATCCGGTTATAACGACTCCGCAAATAGCGTCTGTACGGTTAGAGCGACGAAACTTCTGGTCCCCAGACAAACTTTTATGAGCAAACTTATACGGCTATTGCGCCTTCCGGGTATAACGACAGTCCGTTGAGTGTCGTTATAACCGGATTCTAATTTATAATATATATGTATATCAAAATAGTCATTTAAGTTAAATGGGGTAGTTAAGCGAGTACAGACTTTTTGTCCACAGTGAATAAGTATTATGCACCCGGTAGTGCCCGTCTACTTTTTATTCATAGTTTCTTGTTTTTTTTTTTTTTTGTTTCTTTTTACCATTTATTTTGCTCATTCCGTAATGCAGAAAACAGAAATCAAATACGCTTTAATTAAAAACCAGTTTGCACCCTGCTATATCCCAACCAAATCCAAAACCGAAGCTGCCCGACGACCTTCAGCTGAGTGTGTAGCGGTTGTTGTTCCAGGTTTGGTCTGGTTAGGTCAGGTTGGGTTGCACAGTAAGAATAAGGAAATTTCTTCGTATTCAGAAATATACTGTATGCCAGAGACAAAGTATTCCTTATAAGGTACAATGTAGGCAATCGCGCTCAAATTGACAAAATTAAATGCAGACCGTGTTCCACGATGCCAGTATAATGTACAGAACCACGACAAATTTTGGCATTGAATTAAATTATGACAATGGCTCGAATTAGCTTATTTTCTACCTGTGTGTGTGCTCTGCCTTGATAATCAAACATTGCATTGCCTTAAAAAAGTCTAAACGCTAACGGCTTACGGCTAACGACAAACAGGCCACAGGCGGGCATCTGCATCAGCAACCGACATCAGCGCCAGCGTCCGCGGCATCATCAACAACTCAACTCAAAAGATAATGGAGAGGCCATTAGTCGACCACATCCACCCCTACCCGACGCGCGACACGCGACGCCCGGCACCCGATCAACCCGTTATTGTACAGAAGCAAACGCCGCTGGGGCGCGCTAGTCACGGAATTCCTCTGGGCGAGCACGTATTCTGAGGCGTTGCATACTTTAAGGCACTTTAAGTACGCTTGACCGAGTAGAGAGTGCGACATTGTGCTCTAGGTGTGAAGCTCTGACGAGGAGGAGGTCGAGCAGAAAGAGAAGGTAGATCTGGGATGCTCTAAGGAATTTTACTGGCAACCGCAATGCTCGTCTGCCCCGACTGCACTTTGTTGCTATTTATTTGCATTTAGTAGTAGGTGTCGCTAGCCAGGCAAAGTGACTAAGTAGCTTAAACGGTTTACTCCTTTTCCTTTTGGTCCTTTGGCACCTTTTGGACCGCTCTCCTCCGTCACTGACCTTCCATGTTTTCATTTAATTGCGCGTTCAAATGAAATTAATTTTCGAGCAAATCTGAAACACGTAATTGCCGTGAAGCTGCAACTTTTTAAGGCAGCGAGCAACTCAGCTGCAATTGCGACGACCCTAAATAATTCCTGAATTATTCACTCGGCGGGCAAGCTTGCTCGAGCTTCGACATCATTTCTGAGCGCTGACTTTTTAATCTCGTTAAAATAAAGTCAATCACTCAATTACCATTCCGAGTCGCGACTATCAGGACCTCTCCCAGACAGTCAAGTGTCGTCGGCAAACGTTTTCTTTCGCGCAGTTGACATTAAGTACATATTATTTTGGACCTCGCCTTCCATCTGTGGGGCTTGACCATAAGGCCTTAAGAAAACCAAAACTTTTTCCGCTGCAATGGATTTGAATCAAAGCGCTGCTAAATCAGTCGACGAGAAGTGCTACAGCTTAGTAGCAGTAGTAGTAATCATATAGTGGCAAACTTTTGATAGTTAAACTACTGCAAAATTGCTCTCCGTTGAGATTCGCCAATTTAATTAAACTCTTATAGACCTCTTATATTATATTATACAGTCAAAGGCGCCCGATTATAAAATTCTAAATATTCTATTTGCTACCCTTTCACTGCCTCGCAGATAATGAGTGGAAAGAATGGGATTGCGTGACTCGCTAGCTATATAGGCCGGAAAGCTGTGAGCTGTCATCCGGTCGTCAACGCTCCTTTCATTGATTTATCCAAATGACTGAGAACTGCTCTATAGAGACTGCTAAATTTGTTTACGAAAGTGCAATTATAATACTATTACCATATGCCAAAATGGAGTTGATGTATTGTCCGAATTGTATTTTCTCAGGAGAGCGACCGTACAAGTGTCACCTGCCGGATTGTGGTCGAGCATTCATCCAGCTATCTAATCTGCAACAGCATCTGAGGAACCACGACGCCCAGGTAGAGCGGGCCAAGAATCGTCCATTCCATTGTAACATTTGTGGCAAGGGATTCGCCACAGAGTCGAGCCTGCGCACCCACACATCAAAGGTGAGTTTGGGTCATTGGCTTCATTGATTAGCGGACTTCGATCATCCAATATTCGACGCATCCTTAACTCCTCCAAAACTCAACTCGCAAAATTTTCTTTACGTATTTTCGTCGTTGCACCCTCATCGCCATCAATCCAACATGCACGGTATCTCATTCAACTGAACTCGTCTCAACTCAGGAGCTACAGCTGCATCTTGGTGTCTTGCAGCAGCATGCGGCACTCATTGGTGGCCCCAATGCCACCTCATGCCCTGTGTGCCACAAACTCTTTTTGGGCACTGAGGCGCTGATGGATCACATGAAGCATGTCCACAAAGAGAAGACCTCGCCGCCGATCGAGCCACGTAAGAACTCCGAATTCCCTCTCTCTCCTTCTCCTTCTCCTTCTCCTTCTCCTTCTCCTTCTCCTTCTCCCTTCTCCTTCTCCTTCTCCTTCTCCTTCTCCTTCTCCTTCTCCTTCTCCTTCTCCTTCTCCTTCTCCTTCTCCTTCTCCTTCTCCCTCTCCCTCTCCCTCTCCCTCCTCCCTCTCCCTCTCCCTCTCCCTCTCCCCTCTCCCTCTCCCTCTCCCTCTCCCTCTCCCTCTCCCTCTCCCTCTCCCTCTCCCTCTCCCTCTCCCTCTCCCTCTCCCTCTCCCTCTCCCTCTCCCTCTCCCTCTCCCTCTCCCTCTCCCTCTCCCTCTCCCTCTCCCTCTCCCTCTCCCTCTCCCTCTCCCTCTCCCTCTCCCTCTCCCTCTCCCTCTCCCTCTCCCTCTCCCTCTCCCTCTCCCTCTCCCTCTCCCTCTCCCTCCCTCTCCCTCTCCCTCTCCCTCTCCCTCTCTGATTGATTGATTGATTCACTCCCTCTCCCCCCCCCCCCCACCCCTCTCTCTGATTGATTGATTCACTGAGACTCACTGAATTTGAATCCATGAATTCAATGAGTCCGACCCTATTTGATACTTAAGACTAATTAGCTCTTCGTCTCACAGCGACGCAATTTGGAGATGCCATCCACGGCAGTAGCTCACTTGCAGCGCAATGTGCGTCCGAGCTGAACTGCGCTCAACCTTCAAACACCAGTGGGTCCAGTTTGAATGACAGCTATCTCGGCAAGCGGAGAACCGCCAACCACCCCTGTCCTGTCTGCGGCAAGCACTATGTCAATGAGGGCTCCTTGCGCAAGCATCTCGCCTGCCACGCGGAGACCTCCCAGCTGACAAGCAGCCTGCGCATGTGGCCGTGTTCTGTTTGCCAGGCGGTATTCACTCACGAGAACGGTAAGCGCACTGTACAATATCGGGTATACATACGTATGACTGATGCCTCCTGACTTGCAGGTCTTCTCACCCATATGGATCACATGCGTATGGATCCCAAGCATCAGTTCGCAGCGCAATATGTTTTGGTGTGTATATATATATATATATATAACTATAGCAGAGCATTGTTTTCGTGATTATCCGGCATGTTTCTTTATTTCGATAGCATAAGATCAAAGACAACCCTATACTTTGCTTTCTTTCCATTTGCAATGGATGTTTCCTTTTATATTCAGGTGTAACTTATTCTATCTTTTTTTAGTCTCGAGCGGCAGCCGAGCAAAGGGAACGCGAGTCCTTGTTGGCAGCGAGTTTGGCTACCTCGTCGACCAGTAGTGGAGCCCGAGATCCAGCCGGACATCTGCTGCCATTGGATGTGGGTGCTGGAGCGGGTCTGGTAGTTGGTATGGGTGTTACACAAGGAGGAGGGTCCAATTCGTTGTGTCCCTCGCCATCCGTGAACTCGGAGTGTTCGTCGAATGGACGGCTCTCCTCGTCATCCACTTCGGATCAGGACCAGGACCATGATCAGGACCAGGATCACGACCAAGACCAAGAACAGGACCAAGACCAGGACCAGGACCAGGATCACGATCAAGATCAGGGCTTAAGTGAAAACGAGAACAGCAGTCATAACAATAACATTATCAGTGCTGGAAACAACAACAACAACACCATTAACAACAACAACAACAACAACAACTGTAGCTCAAGCAAAATCAATTTGGCCGAGCTGCGCCTGCCCAGTTCCAGCCAGTACAACATGGACGCCGAGCTGCACGCAAATCGCATGTCCCTAATGGCAGCCGCTTCAGCTGCAGCCGCAGCTGTCGCAGCTTCCACGGGCTCCAGATCACAAGACGGCGGCACTGACGGTCCAGGCAGTGCGGTTGTCCAAGCAGCAGTCGTCAACCTGGCCGCCGCCATGCGCCTGAACAACCCCGCAAATCATCAACAGGTAAGGGCTAGCCGCCTGGCCGATTGGCAGGTTTGTCCTAATTGCTATAAGCAATATAAGAAAACAACAAGGCAAGATAGCATGCAATTACATAGGTGCGTGAATATGCCGATATTCCTATGGGATTCTAAGGAGTACGTAGCTCTAGCGGGGACAGGTTGAAAATGCGAAGTCAGTGCGCAGCGCAAGCCAAAGACTCTTGATGATTGATTCAGAATCCGTGCCGATCTGGTTCTGTCCGTTCGTCTGCCTTCAAAAGTTAGAGTTAGAGTTAGAGAGTTAGAGTTAATTAGAGACTTTCGGTCCGACCTTTTGCAATCGATATGCAGATGGTCTGCCCCAAAGCATCGCTGGAATTGTATGGTCTCTCGGCTGTTCTCATGTTAGCCACACAAATGGCGCCGATCCTCGAGCAAATTTGGAGGCCGTTATGTCCTGAATTCGAATTTTCAATGAGTTCATTTTGGTAGTAGCAATAGGTGAAAGCTTGAACAACTTAGTGGCTACATACTACATTTGCAATTTGGATTGGTTTACTTTTAGCCAAGCGAACACCAGGTGCTTCATCAGCAGAACCAGCAGCAGCAACAGCAACAGCAACAGCAACAACAACAGCAACAACAACAGCAGCAGCAACAACAACAGCAGCAGCAACAGCAACAGCAACAGCAACAACACCAGCATAACCACCAGCACCAGCACCAACACCATCATCAGCCTCTGTCGCACTTGCCGTTGTTGTCGCCGCTCGGCAGCCGGCAGGGCCACACGGGTATTAATCTGGGCACTCGGAGATCGCCGGGTATAAACGTGCCTAGTTTGCAAATGCAGAGTGACACGTCGGCATCGGTTATGATGAGCATGATGCGCGGCTCTTTGGACACCAGCTTGAGCAGCATGCATCAAATGGAGACACTGCATCATCAGCATCATCAGGCATCCAACTATTCGCAGCACGCTGTGACGCCCAGCTCGCAGCAAACGCCGTCGCATCCACAGCATCCGCATAACCACCATCCGGAGACGGCACTTCGGATGCATCAGCAGGCGGAGGCCATATTGCGCTCACACACGGAAGCAGCGTTCCGTCTGGCTGCTTCGGTGGCTGCCACAAACGTGGCACCTTCCAACCCTGGCGGAGCTGGGGCTCCAATCAAAAGCGAATCAACAATAGCAAGTGCTGCCTCTACACAGCAGCAGCAGCAACAGAGGCAGATCAATGGTAGTGATCTGCATGCATCGCCCCATCGTTTCCCAACGAACACGAACCAAGCATCACATAGCACCCACCCGCAGTCGCAGCACGAACAGCAGCCTAATCAACCCAATTCATGAAGTCTATGAGCTAGAAGCTGAGCCACAGATACCGGTCGCCGGCTAAGCGCATCAGTAGCGAATCAGCAGCAGCAATAGCAGATTGCCGCACCAAGAACCTAAAACATTAAGCTGCATATATGTATGTATATGCATATGTATATTAAGAGGGGGAGGGAGAGAGATCGATGTCAGGAATTTCTCATTGTATCAGCAGCACCCAGTACAACGAACTGAATATAAATCCTGTGTCTTTGTTGTGATTATCCAAAAATTCGTACTCCTCCTGCTTTACGCCTCTACTATAGACAAATATGTATGTGTAAGCGTTTGAATGTGTGTGTGTGTAACTAGTAAGCCAGCGCATGTAGTGTACATACATATACCCGACACGAAATATTTGTCAGGGATTATTCTCTCTATATCTCTCTCTCTCTATATATACATACATATATATATATATATATATATAAAGAAGCATATCTTATTTAAGAATTTAAACATTCTTGGTGAGAGAGTATTTACTAGTTCCAAGTAAATTTCAAACTAATTTCGAAATATTCAAATAGTAACTGGTGTGAAATACACATACACAGAAATATATATATATACATATATATATATATATTATATGTATAGGTGTGTGTATTTAGATTTAACTAATACTCTCTGAACTGAGATTTTTAGAAATAATGCGGTCAATCTGTGGATTCCAGTATTTCTCATTTAAGATCACCCCTCTCCAAAGAGATTCAGTTTCTTAACACTCCATTATGTGCAATAGATTTCAAGTTTCTAGTGTAGTTAAGTACTTCATTATTGGGAAACATTTTGAATTTGTATAGAGGGTATACTATAAGAGTAAAAGTATGTATATACCTTATAAGTATATATAATGTAATTAAATCGCCAAAAAATCAAATTTGTTCCATTCCAGATTATATACATTTCTTTTTTTCAGGTGGTTTTCGAATTAGGCAATAAACGTATTGCCGGTCAGAAAATATATTTAAAATCTTTATTTTTTGGACTTTCTATTATTAATTATTCTTCCCGTGTCCATCAAGTAATCTAGGAATGTTGTGTAATTTGTTTATTTTATTTGGATATTATTCCAAATAGCGGCATAAATAGGCATTAATCATGCACAGATCATATCGATCTTTTCCGCAAAAGCAAACGACTGTGAAGCTCCTGTTATTATTTATTATATATTTCTTTTAAATAAAATTGTATGGTTGATATATGTATATATGTATATATTATATACGTCAACCTATTTTAGAATTTCATTTTATTTTATTCTCGAAAACGAATAAATTGAATAATTGCATACATTTGTATTTTATTCCCGAAAATGAATAAATTGCATACTATAAGTGGTGAGTGTATTACTTTCGACTTTCATGACTTAAAATAAGTTAGGTGTGTGTGTGATCATGTAAGTGTGTAAATGTGCATGTGTATATTTAGGACGTTAGAATACGCTAGTTAGAATCTAATTCGTTCAACCACGCCATGCTCTTGCTTATTATTATGGAGCTGATGGTCCTTAATTAATGGAAGCATATCCAAATGGATCCCATTACTGCTGGCACTGTACAAATTGGTTTCTGGAGTAGCTTCCGTACGGACGATACACTGAGCTATTCCATTTCTAAAGAAACTGTACAGCTAGAATCCAAGTTGCAATTATATACGCTTAATGACGACCCACTTAGTCAATTCCCTGCAGTCCACTGCTGCGGGCTCGCTTCTGGGGCGAACTGTAGCTGCTTGTAGAAGAAGTTCCTCCACTCTTCTCTTGGTTGCGCTTTAAGTTAGTTGCGTTTGCGGCGCCTTGTAGCTTGGTTGTTGTGGGATCTGCAAATGAGGTGAGTGAATACAAAAATCAAAGCTAAGTGTGCGTGCGTATACATGCCTTGCAGCCATCTAACTTGCGTCGCGGGCCCGTAGCCCTTTTGGTTGCGTGCAGCGATTCGGAAAATAATGGCTGGCTTATTGGAGCAGTCGACATGCGCATTGGATAGCGACGCATTAGGCACTGTGCATTGATTGGCCGCGCCCACATAGACGCGTACGAACGCCAACTGAGGTGATGCAACCTTGTCTTTTGTTGTCGGCTTGACAGCCAGATAAACCGAGTATTCAATTATTTCCTTTGTCTTTTGCGCCGGTGGCGGTTCCCATGTCAGGTGCGCACCCTCCTTAACATCCTTGGATATCTTGATGGCTGATGGGGCACCAGGGAAACCAGGTAGGCACGTCTTAAAGCTTGAGATCTACAAAAGCAAATGTTAAATACATTTCAACCACATACATACCCTTCGAGCAACTGATATTTCAATAATTATTCGCACATGCACACACACACAGGCATACGCACACATAAACAAGCATTGGTTTCAATGATGGCTTACTATGGGAACTTAATTGTTTAAAAACTTTTCTTGTGGGTGAACTATCTTCATGAGATTTTCAGATTATGAACATAACATAGATATGGATGTATTTGCCAAAGGACAAGTCTCTAGTATTTGAAACACGCCTTTTACAAACTTAAGGATGATGGGGTGAACTAGGGGTGGGGGGTAAATTCTGACTAAAATCGAAATTGTATAAAATGTATCTTAATATATATTTTAAATTTGGAGACTCTAGCTTTAAAAATGTAGGAGATATAATTTTATAACTGATTTTCGATAAGGGTTTTAATCGATAAGATATCGGGATGAGTTATCGATTTTTTTAGATAAACTCGATATGCGCGCTATATATACGGGCATTGAAAAAAAAATTTGAAGTCTCTAGCTCTTATACATTCTGAAATCGACGCGCTCATACATACGGACAGAAGGACAGACAGGCCAAATCGACTCAGCTCGTCGCGCTGCCACGCCTCCTTCTGCCTATTGCATACATTTCAACAAATCCATTATACCCTGATTTCCCATTATCAATGGGTTCAGGGTATAAAAAATCAAATTAACACAAACCTCTCCCCATTCGCCACGCCCACACGTGTTAACGGCAGCCAAACGAAAACGGTACGCGGTACCCGGATCCAAGCTAATCCGTGGATATTGAGATAGGTCGGGTAGATTATCGGCATCAACATTTTCTAGCTGAGCCTCGTTAAAGTACTTATAATCAATATAGCTAGTGACAGTATGGGACAGATCTTTAAATATTCCCACAGTATGCCACTTATCGTTGTCATCGATCGTTGAATTGGCAGCGTTTACTGAAGGCTGAAACAAAAAATATTGATTTATATCCTATCTATATAATATAGTACGCAACGGACTTACATTGTTGTCATTGCAGCTTTTCAGTTGATCACTCGATTTGCTACCAATGTGGCCAGCGGATAAGCTATCCAATAGGTTTATACTTGGTTTAGTTGAATCCGCTGTCGCGGTGGCCGCTTGCATAACAGCTGCCGATGCCAAAGCCTCCAACTGAGAGCCGTCCACTGTAAAGTTTTTGAATAAAAACCTTTTACTATTCAATATTAAGAGTGCTCTATTCGGACGCGCCAAGCTAGTGAATACCCCGCATCAAGGCTCTACGGAAAACTACAGTGTTGAGGCACGAACATAAGACCATAAGGATTGCAAGTAAGTCAAGAATACTGACAATTATAAAATTTGTATTTGTTCTATATATTATTAAAAAAGAAATCTACACACAGCAATTATTGGATGTTACACGCTTTGGCGCCCCGCAGAATTTTTAGGCATGAACATACAAATATACGAGGATCGTATACATGCCTCCTACGCATTCAACGGCTAGCAGGTATTGCGATAGGAAGAGATGTCACATGTGCGGACTCTATAAACAGACTGATGAACGCTAACTCTTGTAACCCTAGTCACAGAATATGCTAGAGACAAGCGCTGCGCCTTACAAACTCAGCGGTAGGATAAGAATATGTAATACTCCAATGCAGAGCCCTCACACTCAGCAAGAGGCACTAGAATTAAGGGTTGAAAATATGCATGAGTCTGGGTATAAAGCCCGGGCTCAGAAGAGTAAAGATCAATACGTAACTACACATCACAATGTATTCGTTCAACAGTATCTATTTTGCAAGATTGAGGCATCCAAAACATATACGAAATAAAAATATATAATATGTATCTATACAGGTACACAGAAATAGACAGAAATAGAATATGATTGATTTAAACGAACCATTTTGATGATGATGTTGTCGTAGAGCGGATATTGCTAATTGGCTTTGTGATGCATCCGAATCACTTGTTGTGGATATCCCAGTATCCTTTAATATGGTATTGCTGCTGCTCGCTAAACCCTCGCCCGATTTAATTGTAGTTAATATATTTGCAGCTTCAGTCTCCGAAGCAGTCGGCAGATTAAAGTTCGTTGCTGTGGTTGTAACTGAAGCTATGAAGCCAGACTGGAAAGATGCGTTAAAGCCGTGAACAAAATCTAAAGTTTTTCCAATTATATGCTTACATTCGAGTCGACGTTATCGTTCTTATCGTTAATCGCAGGTGCAGTCGCGACGGAACTTTTCTGAACATCCGTCGTGCTGCTAACACTGGAAATATCATCAATCGCTGGATCTGCCATTTGGATATCTGTTGATGGATTTTCGGCGGTCCTCGACAGGGCTGCCGAGGGCACTAATGTTGACGTTAGTGTTGATGTTAATGTCGATGTAGTGGTTGAGGACGTGGCTGCAATTACAGTCCCGTCCCCATCCTCCATATCCTCCGGCTCTTGGGGCTGATCCTTTGTCGGAGTTAGTAGATCGTCAGCACCGTCCAGTTGCTCGATGATGTCATCGACGGTATCGGTTTCACCCGTTGTGGCAATAGCGACCGCTGCCTCCGCAACACTGTTCTCCTGCTTCTCCTTTAGCTGATGCACGGTCGTCTTGACTGCCGGTGCCGTCGGTCTACTTGTCAATGCCAACGTGCGTTGGCCGACCCCAGCAGCACCAGCGGCCCCCCCAGCATTGAAAATATTCACAAACCCTTTGCGCGCAGCTGTTGCTCCGGGCAACATGACTAACTTGTTGGTCGAGCTCGTGCCTGGTGTGCTGGAATTGGCGCTCATCACAGTCACCGACTTGCCTCCAATGTATACGGCGGTCTTTTGTTGTGTTAGCTTCTGGCCAGCAGCGACAGCGCCGCTGTTAACGGAGGTGAGGGTGATAGGGCGACCTGCAGCTGCTCCTGCGGACCCCTGGATATTGCGCACCATTTTAACATTACTCTGACCGGTTAATACTGTGCGCTGTACGCCAGTAGCAATGGGTGTGGCCGTTGTACCAGTGGAACCAACGATGCTGACTATGTTTGTGGACCCACCGCTGCCAGCACTACTCATCACAGAGCTGGCCGGCACCGTGCGCAGACTAGATCCAGTTGTTACTATTATTATCTGCTGATTGCCCAGCTGGGTGCCTTGCTTGTTAGTGATGACAAAGGCGGGCTTGCCGCCCATCACGTTGGGTGTGACCTTGCCCATTTGCAGTATGTTGGAGTTCTTCATAATCAATTTTCCGCCAGACATCGTGTGTGGAGTAACCAGTTTTAAAACATTGCCAGATACAATCGACTTTTGTTGCTGGATCGCCGATTGCTGCTGCTGCTGGTGTTGTTGGTGCTGTTGCTGTTGATTTTGTTGTCCACTTGCACTCGACGCCGAAGACGATGTTATTAGAGTCGTTCCACCAGCCATCACTGTCTTTGGCTGCACAGTGCTGCCGGATGCAATCTGATACGAAATTCGAAGACTTTAAATGTGGTTCTAATATGATATATATAATATGATATATATGTATATATAAAGTTGCCTTGCCTGATTTGGTGTCGACCCAGCACTGAGCTGTTGGTTGCTAATAGATATTGCCTGACCCTGGGCACCGCCGCCGCTTTTAGCGATATTAAAGTTGACCTTCGGCAGAGTCTGCACCGTCATGCCACCACCGCTAGTCTTCACAAACTGCAGCTGTACATTCGGAGCCAATGTGAGAGGCTTCTG